AGCAGAGGTTATATCAACCCTCGAGGTGCCGGTGTTTTTGAAAAAAAAAAAAAAAACATTTGTAAGTATGTTGTTTTCGAATGCAAAGGCCGCTGGATTCGAACCCGGGACCTTTACCTTACAGTGATGAACTCCGTGTCAACGCCAAAACCGTTGCGGCCACCGACGCCCCCATTTATTTATTGATATTAGTTATTATTAAAGTAAATCTGTTGTTATTGAACTTATCTATTGTACATGTCTAATCAATGATTTATAATTTATTATATATGTATTTATTAGTAAATTGCTTATTTATTAACTTATTAATAAAATGGTTATCATTTATCAATTTATTATTTAACTTAGATAATATACAATTCTAGTCAAACAAAGGCGTTGTGTCCTAAGCCTATTGTACTTGTACTTTCTTTAATCTTACTGCAAGTGGTTTTTATAATTTTTCACCACTGTTCTTTATTTGTTTAGGCCAAATGAGCAATAATTGTAAATATATTTAAGTCCTCTGCTACATGGATGTTATAATGTCCTAAACATTTCCCCTTTTATTTCACTTTTTTACAGAACTATGTAAAATTATCTATTAAATAAATTCCAAATTTCAATTCCACATTACATGAAAAACTAGCCTCACATCCTAAATAGTGCATTAGTCAAACATCAACGGTCAAATTTACTTGAATGCACGGATGAAATATTTTTTCTAGATTACTGAAATGGTACAATTACAAAACGGGTTTGTTTCCATTGAGTTAAAGTTTTGGCCGGTCACAAGTGTCTCTGAGTCGTAGGAAGTAGCGGGTAATCGTACAACTCCCTGTTTAAAAATAATATAAATTACTATTCAGAAATCGTGAGATGCGGTCTGGTGTGACGTAGGTTTCAGAAAAACATTTTCTTTATCGTGCCAACGTTTCGATCTTTATTGAGATCATCTTCAGGGCCTGGGATTTACAAACATTGTTTACATTTAACAAATACATGTAGGATGTGGAAAAAAAGTGAATTTATACAATGCAAAATATATTTTTTATATTCAATCAAAGTATTTCTACTCTCTCAAAGTGTTTGTCTTATGTGTAATTGTGCCATTCTTGCATGTCGTGTTGAGAGTGCCAATGAGATATTGCTGTTTTGTGTTTAAAAAAAAAAAAACTTTCTCTAGAGGCGATTTTCAATGGGTTGGTTGACAATAGTGCAAATGTAAGTGAAACTGATAATGAAGGAGAATATGGATACTTTTTTTGAGATATAAAATATACCCAGGAAATAGATGATCACCATAGACACCTCCCTTTGCTGCCCTAAACAAAAATGCCTCCAAATTGGATATTTAAAAAACTTAAATTGACCGCTTGACCAATTAATTTTAATTTAAAAAAACTGTTAACGACGTTAGAAAATAAAAAGAAATATGTCCTTCACTACAAAAATTTGAAATAAGCTACAAATTGAAGGTTACCAATTGTTAAAGTATACAGGGGTTTGCTGTTTAGACAATCCGAGTGGTTAACAATCTTACATCGAGTTAAACAGAAAATAATATAAATTTTTTTTTAAATAACTTTTTTTATTAATGATTAATGCCATTTTTGGAAAATCCCTGGTGTGACTGTAGGTAGTGTGTGGTGGAGGAGATCGTGTATGGTGGAGGTGGTGGGTAGTGGAGGCTGTGGGTGGTGGAGTGAGCCTGTGAGATATCCGTATCGGAGGCCGCCCAGGCCTTTTTTTATCTACTTATGTCCTGTAGTTATCCTAAATTTAATTATTCAAAAGTCATCGAAGCCTAATTTATTGGTGAAATCAATGTAGGTATGTATTTGTAAAAAAATCATTGGCCAATAATAATAACGAAGTTTTCAAACAAGTCCGATGCATATACAAGGCATAAGAAGGGCCCCAAGACGCTTCCTTGTGAAACACCGCTTTCATATCATAGCTGCTTGAGTAGCATGGTCTATCGCATTTTGTAAAATTCTTTTTTTTTAGTATAATTTTATTATTCTGTAATAGATCAGTTTTACAGTCACTATCACCGTCATGGTTACTGTTTACTCTAGGCCAACTGCGGGGAGGGTTGGATGGAATATGATGGGATTTTTTCAAATAAAAGGGTTTTGAGTGACAGGGAGCCTATAAATCTTTGCATAGTTTCATTTGATACATAAAATGGAGCGTCAAGAAGTTTTTCGAAGAATTTTTGATTGAGCTTTGGCTCTACCCAAGGCTTCTTGTCCGTATGTCTTATTAGTTTTAGTATGAAGTTGTAAAGTCTTTCGTTTGACAGTAATAAGTTGGATCATTTATCAAGTAATCATAAGAAGATTTTGTTGTGCCACCAATTGTTGTAGTTTAAGTCGTGTTTGTCCGTTCTTGGAAGGGGCCTACATTTTAAGGTTACGTCGGTGGATTTTACCGCATTTAAGTCAATAATGTATGTTTCCAATGTATGAGATGACGCGGAAGGTTTCTCGAAAGAATAGCTGTACTATCTGCAAAGGTAAAGATGAGGAACATCTGGAGAGTATAATGCGCAGAGAGGGAATAGCCTTCAGTAATTCGGAAAAATTCACTAATCGCGAGACCATTGGTGCTTTACCCGTCTTAGAGTAATAGGAAGGAAAGGGTTCGAGATGAAAGCTGGATTAGTCGGTTGTGATGTGGGTACAGGGTGTGATGAAGGCTCTTGGAAGATATTTGAGAAAGGTGAAAGTCATTGGATTAGTGGATTTAGATGAAAGGTGTTAGATTAGTGGGTTTTATGGAGGCGTCTGTATCGGCATCTTGCGGTTTCGAGGACCAATGGGATTGAAGGTGTGTGGCGTAAGGTTGGATAACAATAGGTAGCTTGGGCTGATCGCTGATCGAAGATTATGGACTGGAATGACTGGATTCTTTAAAGTTCGGAGAATTGGTTGAACCCCACATTTCATCTGATGGATGAAGTAGTAATGTGTCAATGTGGCGTATGTTTTGTAGTGTAAGTATCGACCTGTTATCAAGAAATCTTTTGAATAATTATATCTTTTTTCCATTATATTTGTTTTTTAATCGAGAGTGAGGATTCCAAGTTTTTGTCCCTGTAAAAGTCCCAAAAAGCGGACGACATTGGTTGATGGGTGTGTATAGAGTCGTAATTGATTGAAGGAGGGTGAAGGTTGAGTTTGATCCTCCTTTACTTAAACAATTTTTCCAAACAGAGAAGGTAGTCGTAGATTTTCTAAAGACCACTAGATTTAGGTTTTCAGAAAGGGTGGCGGTACAGTCTGCATATATGAGGAGAGCTGTGTATGCTGATTTCAGAATAGGACCAAGAATGCTGCCTTGCGGAACACCAGCTTCATAATGGTCGGGGGTAGAAAAAGATACATTCGCACTTGAAAGTACCCATCGGAAGATTAAGGTGGTGAATGGAATGCCCTTAAGCATTCCCGGTGGCAAAACTCGACCAAAGGCTTGGCTTACGTCAAGAAAGGCCCCAGAACAGTACTACCCCTACTCAATGGAGGAAGAGATTAACGACACAATGCCACCGTTGTACAACTGACTATCAAATGTAAAAACAAATTTCTGGAATCATATTTTGAAAATTTATAGTAAAACCTTTTTAAGTTTTTCTACAAAAACAAGTAATGTTAAAACTTCCGGTGAATTAAAAAAATTGCTTATGCCTGTATCGGAGTGCTTGGTCTTTAGTTTATTTAGTCAAGTTATGTTTAATGAAAATATAATCTATTGAGACTGTAAGGACTAGTTAATAAATCGATAAAAGTTTGCATCTGTATTGCGGTTTTTAGTTAGCACAACTACGCAAAAATAATTAAAACCATATAATGCAATAATATCTATATAAAAAATAGTTTATACATATTTGAATTTTATTTTGACGAGTTTCGTATTTTTTGAAATGGATTAAAGCTATCTATTCATTATATACAAGAATACAAAACTGCTTCTATCTATATTGCGGTTTATGGTTTTTGTTCATTCAAAATATACAAAAACCGTTAAAATTGTGTACAAATACATTAATACAAAAGGGAAATAATTTATTCTGCAATAGAGTTTTACGTGTTTAGTTTTCTCGTACACAGAAAATTAATTTTTTAATTATATTCACTTATCACTGGATAAGTATTACAAGACCAAACCATTTAGTCTATGTCTGAATTTCAGTTCTACATGGTTTTCCATTGAAAATTCATTCGCGTGTAACTTATGTGTTTTTTTATTATTAATAAAGCTCATCGGATAATCTAGTTGCTTTATTATTCTTTAATTAAACTACAATTTACGTTTTAAGCCAGCTCTATGGGGTTCAAAGAAAAAATTAAATCAAATTATTTTTAGATAAAACTACGATTTTAAGTGAAGAAGATATTCATGCAAATTTTAACCTGTCCTATAGAATTTAGCAAAGCATCAAATTTCATGCGTGTTGTGGGTATTTTGTATGTAAACAAAACTATTATACTGTATCAACCAAAATCTATAAATAAGGCATAATTAATCAACGATACGTCTTACAGTGTGTGTAAATAATAAATAATTAATTATTATAATAATAAGACGAATGAATAGTTTTACGAGCGGGCGGCTGTTTTAAAAGGGAAGAGCAATCACGTGGCTACAGTTTGTTTATCATCGGTGACAGCAACCCCTAAATCCCGAACTTTTCCCTTCCCCCTTGCGTTTATACAATATTAAATCGGATTTTATCCGAAATGGAAGAATGTGGAAACCACTATCACTCTCTGGGAAGCGTATTAACCAGAGACAAATAAAATAAAAAATAAAAAAAATAGGCATGGGCATGGGTCATGTATCGGCAATCAGTTTTCCGGCGATTGGCTTTTGACATGTACGCGTCCAAGCGAAAGCTCGATTTCAACACATACAAAAAATTATATTTTTCCCTTTTTTTTTTTTTTAATAATTTATCTATTATCAGAGAAACACTTTTTTTTAATGGTCTAAAATAATATTAAGAAAATTTTTACCTTGTGGTAGACCTGGTGCCGGCGTGCCAACGAGGTCTCTATAATAAAAATCGGGATAAGGCATGATGCAATGAAAAGTAAGATAACGACGGGACGTGTTAAAAAGGTAGAGAGCATGAGTGCCCTTTAGGGCAGTTGCTTCAATACTAGCAACCCTTCACGACTGTGTTCTAGGGCGAAGCCAATGCGCCAGTCGATGCGCCACTACCCCCTCTTCCAGGCCCCCTCCCGAACGTTCCAGCTGAAGGAATTTTTTTTCTTTTTGAACTTCTTCCTTTCAACCCTTTTGCATTTGGAGTACGGCATAGAGATGAGGGTGGTTGGTCCCATGCAAATAGTCGGACACCGTACGACCGAGACGAATCCACTGAGAAAAAATAGCTCGATTCAAAGAACATTTTTTCTAAACAAAAATCCTTCTGTGACGATGGAACGATATCTTTCAGGGCCACGTTTAATTGCCTCATTTATCTGTCGGTTTGCATGACATCATTATTAACGATTAACTGAACACAGTGCTATCCGGGCAAGCGTCCAGACCTCCATCAGAGGCGTTTGATGCCATCAGAGGCATCAAACAGACCGAACAAGCGGCAGACTTTGGTTTTCAGACCGGTTTGCCTCAAAAGATACAACTCGTACTAAAATATTTTTAGGAGAGGTCATTACCAACCCAAATTATGTAATATACGGGGATGAGAGCAAAACCGATGGAAGAATCGGTTGCGCCATGTTTATAAAGAGCAAAGAAGGCTTGATTTATCAACAGATGGACCCATTCTCCTCTGGCGATTTGTCCAAAAATCTACAATAAAACAACTACATCTTAGAACGTGTCAGTTTTCGCAGGCTAATCCATAGACCGGCTGGTTAGCCGACACGCAAAACATGGAAGCGAGGGGAGGGGGATCTCGGGCAGTGCTGGAGAAAGAACACAGGGAGAAAGAAAGTATTGACATTTAAATTTGATATACCGACGGATCTAAGATCGAGTATCAGAAGCTGGCGTCTACAAAAATAAACCAAGGCCTAGAATTTATATAACACTGTGCTAAAGAGATTAAAAGGCTAGGTATTATTAACAAAATCCACTTAAAGGCAACTTACTCACCGGTAGTACCTAAGCACCAGAGTCGTTTAGGATTACATCAGAACCTTCAGACTACTACTACAACAACTACAAACTTATCTCTATGTGGGTGGGGTCAAAGGCAGAGGAGCAACGAGGAGGCCGATAAATTGGCTAAAGAAAGTTCGATGAAGGCATCTATTGGCCCTGACCCTTTTAGAAGCATACCAAACTGCCAAAACGTTGAGCCATCGCAGAAACTAACAGCAGGACTACGAAGTCTAAGAAATGCCACGACTAAATGATAGTTGGGACACTGCAGACTTCGGAGGCATATGCAGATGTGCGGAGATTTATGTACGCTGAGCTTCCTACTTCTTTGAGAGCAAAACCAAAGACCTGAAGGATACGGGAACCTTAAAAAAGCTTTGGGATCTGAAAACTTAACGAGGAGCTCTTGACTTGAACGATAGACCAATATTGGTCGTGGTGCACAAGGTCGGAAAAAGGCCGACTCCTTTTAACCTTTAACTTAAACCTTACGTAAGTTAATTTTGACGTGGGTTAGTGATAATCGAGAACGTGACACGACTAGAATGACACCTGGTTCGATGGCCTATGCAAGCTGAGGTTCCTACTCTTGGGAGTGGAAAAGCCTGAGCTAGAAGGATACAAATGAGTGTCTTTAACAAACCTTTGGTATTTGGTAAAAAGGCATAAGCTTAATTAGGAGCTCTATATAATACTGGAGATTGCCTAATAGACCAATACTGATCGCTGTAGGTAGGTCGTAAAAAAAGACGATTCCTTTTAACCTTCAACCCCTTTCTCTTTAGTTCGGACGCGCTCTATGAGACTCCTTCAAAACCACAAGTTTCTTTATAACATATACGATTCCGTAATAAAAATAATGATAGAAATGAAGATCTCAAGAATAATAGAAAGATCGATCCGAGAAATTGGCTAAGGAAAGTTGATAAGAACACCAATCCGTACTTAACCCTTTTGCGGAATACCAATTTGACATAAACGTACATCCACGAGACAATGTGTTAACAACAAGCCTCGGTTCAAAGGAAATGTATTCTAGTACAGAGGCATGCAAAAAAGGACACCAAAGAGCCATCACATAATCTATCAACACAACTACTACACGTAGGACGTATTAGGTGTAAAATGATAGCAGGACTGCTGACTGGACACTTCAGACTCCAGAGGTAGAAACAAGCTTGTGCACATATTGCCAGAAAGAAGAAACAGTGGAAAGTGGAAGGCCTATCAGGCTGAGAGTACTCTTGGAAAAGATTCTAGTAACAAACAACGGTACATTTCCTCTGTGGTGCGAAGGCTTTTGGAATTGGAAAAGCTAAAGCCTGAATCATACACACTGGACCCCTTAACAAAGATTTGAGATCTGGTGAAAAGCCTTAAACTTAAAGAAGAACTCTAGATAATCAAATGCACAATAGACCAATATTTGTCGCTTCGTGAATATAAATATCTATATATTTACACTTATTTTAAAGAAAGCATTGCATAAATGAACGAAAACCAGCAAAAGGATAAGCAGACCAAAATGATTCTTCTTCTTGAGTTTCTTGAGGAAAGACACTTTACTATTTTGTAATTATCATGTTTCAGGCCTCATAAAAGCTTAGTTTATGTTTTCCATGTACGACGTGATGCCTCAACGAACCCAATTTCTGGCACGGTCCTGATTCCAAACAGCTCTGGACTTTACTACCAAAGAGGTTACCATTAGTGCTGCCTGGTTGACCGTGTAGATGGGTATTTATTTGCTAATACCTGACCTATTATTATCCTTGGCACAGTATTATTATCAATAGCCACAGACTTAGCCTGAAATGGAGTGGTATGTTGCTCAAGTTTTATCCCAATTCTAGTCCTTGGTTTATATCCATAGATGCCATCCCATACTCGATCTTAGGGCCATCTGTATACCAGCTTTAACTGGGATCCTTTTCACCCAGTTTGCTCGATCTCCAGCACCTTTTCTGCCTGAGGTCCCTCTCGAAGCTTAAATTGCTCCTTTTTATGCGAATAGGCTATTGGAGCCTGCCCCTAGATCAGCCTGTGAAGAGTGCCCTACCTTCGACCTGGTTTAAGGTATGTAGTGGTGGTCATGTTGAGTCAAGAGGATTTTCAGGGCAATAGAGGGGGAGTCGTTCTCATTGCTCCAGTAATGCCCAGGAGGGGGCCATACTGAGGATTCTGACTGCACTTTACAGTCCATGTCCATCCACTTGTCGTCCATCAAACATCATGGGTGAACCGCTCCACATCACCAAAGAGAAATCTTTGGATATAGAACCCAGCCTTTTCCGCAAGGTAAGACGTTTATATCTACCAATGGTAATTTTCGCTTTTTGAGTAATTTTATTGAGCTGGTCATTTCAATAATATATTTGGTCAAAGATGATGCTTAGATATGTCATTGCTTTAGATAATGGAATTAAAGCTACATTTAGCACAAGGTCACCTATTGCGTACTCTTGATAAAGAACAATTATTTTATTGTGGTCTATTTTTAGCCTTTCTTTTTGGCTTTGGAGATTGCCAACATTTTTCCCGGTTATCACTGCACCCAGGCGATGGGTCCATCCCGTGATGAATCAGGCCTTCTTGACTGTTTATAAAGAAGGCGTAATCGATTCTTCCATCCGTTTTGCTCCCATCCGTGTATACTACATAATTTCGATTGGTAATGTCTCTCCTAAAAATATTTTCAAACGAGCTGGTCCCACTTTTTAGCCTTAACCCCAGTTGGATTTTGGTTTTGTTCTTTCCTTTCCCCAGTTGTGTCACGGAAATAATACACAGACCCACCACTGAATATGAGGCGAAGCCGAAACGGGAATAACAGACCAAAACCGCGAGGATATGCAGACTAAATTGCATAATTGATTTTGCCTACTACGTTGTAATAAATTTCATAATTAACAACAGCAACAGGCCAGACAATTGAACCAAATTCAGATTAAAAAATGTTTTGATTCTCCTTTTGCCATTACTGTATTCATGTTGGTTAATAGTTAACCTAATAACTATTAAGTTAATATTATAGTTAGCCAAGTTATATAGTCAATTTATAATCAAATGTCTAAACTATCCAAACAGGTATATTATAATTAAATTGATTCATTTCCCCGTTTGTTATTAAAGTCAATGATTAATAGATGAACTTTTGAATTATCTATTACGCCAGTCAAAGACAATATGTGAAAAAAGCCAAAATGAAAACTGCCAGCATGCACTTCAGTTGCACTAAAATACAGGCTTGCAATTATCAAATAAATATATTCCCTGTCAAGGTTATTTCGTAGTTTTGGTGTTATTTTCGGGTTGGCCCTAAGTGGTCACGTAACCCAACACTGGCTAATTGAATCGCCGATATTGGCCTAATCAATGTTTACTTAATAAATGCGGAATTTTGAAATTGCGATAATTGGCCACAGTGTATTAATACAATTATCCGCTTCAGGAAGGGAAATATTTTTAAAATACACTGATGGACAAAATTAACGTACCACCCCTAAATTTTAATGTATTTATTATATATTTCTAGACTTTTTATCCCCTTTAGTACCGAGCATTTCCACCTCCGGTAAGAATCACGTCCGTTAAACGCCTTTGCATTCTTTGGAAAAGGTTTCTGATAAAATCCTGAAGAATTCTTTCCCGTTCATCAAGTACATCCGTTTCCAACTTTTCTAGGCTGTACCTGGGTTTCGCCGTCGTAATCGTCGCTTAAGTTGATCCCAAATGTGTTCAATTTGGTTAAAATCTGGACATCGAGCTGCCTACATCAAGAGCTAAATTCCAACCTCATTCAGGCAGTCATCCACATTATGAGCTCTACGGGGCGTGTGTGTGTGTGTGTGTGTGTGTGTGTGTGTGTGTGTGTGTGTGTGTGTGTGTGTGTGTGTCCGGGTGTGTGTGCCATCCCAGAACAACAATGCCCCACCGTGGAATGTCACCTGATGAACCATACGGCATGGGGCGTACCTTTCTCCTGAGCGTCTCCATATGAAGTTACGCCCATCTGAAGATTTGTGGCCAACTCTCACCACAACCGTACCTAGAACTCGTCCCCAATCTTCCC